CACTTCTATGCAAGTACTTCTGTATCACCCAGTCCATCTCCTCTCCCCTGCATTTATTTTTTGTTCCTAAAGCGTGTTTATCATCATCATGATCTTGGCTTGCCTATAGTTCAGGAAAAGAATCCCTATGTTTAAATTCCTTCAGAATATTTAAGGTTAGTTAGTAGTCACACAGAACTGGAGGTGACATCCCAGGTGCCTCAATTCAGTCTCCAGTTCTAGGCAGTGCAGTATCACATAACCTCTCCATGAACTTCTGTTCGGCTTCGAAGAGCTCAGCAGATGCCACTGTCTGTACAGCCGCTGGACAAACCATCCTGTATACTGTAAGCAAGTTACTGTTTAATTCTCAATGGAACCTAGCCAAATCTAAACATTTAAGATAATCAGCGGAATTTGGGCTAACATCCAAAATAGAGATATAAATGTTCCAATTCTTTTGTATTACAAGCTGTGTGATTTTAATTGAATCAGACACGAAGCATTTTATTCATTGCTTGTGTAAGTTCTTGTAAAAGGCAATTTTAGTCTGATAATAAGAGCTGAACAACATATTTATTTTAAACAAGAAGAGGGAATTATTATATTTACACATATAGGAATGGAATGAGTAGGTCTGATAAAAGATGTGCAATGCTCTCTGCTCACACAACTTCACATAACAAACATGCCATGTTTCAAACTTAACTTCCTATACCTACAGATAACTTTGTGAAAAATTAGTAGGTAACTTCAGGTCTCTGATGTGCCACTTCTACTCATTCTGTTCAGGGAAGCTCTGAAAAGTTTTGGTTTTATTATCATTTAAGCAAGAAATCTTACTCCTGTTAATTGTCTTATATACTATACTTATGAAATAAATTGTAAGCCAGAGATAAGTTGTTGGTTGAACAACTGATGCAGACTAAAACTAACGTGACCAAGATAAAGTTAGTGAACCCCCGCAAATTTCCTGATCCAATTCATCACACAGCTGCACAAACACTAGAGCTAGCGCAATGGAGGGGGGAAGCACGCGGATGCAAGCTGGTGACAGTGAAAAGGTTGGGAGGCTTCAGTCATCAGCAGCTGACAGCAAAACACGAGCTTGGTCAGCAACATTTTTCTCTAAACAGACACATGCACAGGTTTAAAATTCCCCTGTAATTCATAAGCACATCCAACTGATCAAGGCAATTAAAGGTATTTCACTTAACAAAATTTTTGCAAGCAGTGACTCCTCCAGAAAACAAGTTTTAGGTACCTCTTTGAATCTCGAAGGAATCCTTACCTGGATGCTGAGGAGTTTTTGGTTTTGCCCATTACAATTGCAACTTTGCAATTTGGGCTCCCAGCACCTTAAAAAAGCCACAAAAACAAAAATAATTTTCAATATAAAAATCTCAATGTAGAATCAAATGAAGTTTCATACAAATAAATCTTACTCCCTCCCTTTCGTGATACAGGAGCAAAAGCATGCAATCTACTTCTGTGTTTATACTCTGAGTAATCTGACTGAAACAAAACACATCTTATTGCATGACATGTAAAAGGGAGTTGACCTGTGGGGAGGGGAACAATGAAAAGCCAAACCAAACCCTCCAGGACCCAGCTCCATGATCTATTTCTATGAAAAGAGAACAAGAAGGTACTTGAAATGGAATCTCTGCAAAGCTTGCCATCTGCATTGAGATAGCAATTAAAAATTTACTGATTGTTACATACGTCAGGTATAATCCTGCCCCCTTTTCCCTAGCTTTATTGCCTGTGAGAGACTTTGAAAGGAACGAGAGCATGCCACGTCTACCCATTTTTTGAACACTTCCAGGGATGGTGATTCCACCACCTCTCTGGGCAGCCTGTTCCAATGCTTGACTACCCTTTCTGTGAAGAAATATTTCCTAATATCCAACCTAAACTTCCCCTGGCACAGCTTAAGCCCATTTCCTCTCGTCCTGTCGCTAACTACGTGGGAGAAGAGACCAACACCCACCTCACTACAACCTCCTTTCAGGTAGTTGTAGAGAGCGATAAGGTCTCCCCTCAGCCTCCTCTTCTGTCTCCATTACAGCTAAGCAAGTAAGTGTGATAACGAAAGCACACCTCAAGGTGAGATGCTGCCATTTCAGAAGTAAAACTTCTTAAAACTATAAAGACTGGATGATCTATGTGGTAATGAAATGCTGACCACATTATAACCAAATTATGCAAATAAGGCTATCAAAGGGTTACCATGGTGACTTTGCTACTACTTCAGCGTAACTTCTCTGGAATGACCTTTTTTTCCCACTTTATGCAACTGATTTTAGTTTGCACTTCAAAGAAAAATCCGAGTGGAAATCATTACCTGAAAATAATCTGATAGTATTTCAAGCCATTGATAACATTATTTGATACAAGTCTTTGTAACATAAAGACATTGTACATTTTAATGTAAAAGTCCTAAAGCAAATTCTACCATTAGTTAAAATGACATTTTATTTCTAAGAGCCTTAATCCTCACTATCTTTTTCTTTAAAGGTTTCTTAGCACCAAAGCATGCTCTCGTTCCTTTCAAAGTCTCACACAGGCAATACAGCTAGGGAAAAGGGGGCAGGATTATACCTGATGTATGTAACAATCAGTAAATTTTTAATTGCTATCTCAATGCAGATGACAAGCTTCGCAGAGATTTAATTCAAGATCTGTACCAACTCGGTTTGTTCTAAGGTCAGAAACGAAGATGACTTTTTAACTTCTCTGGCAGCTGTTACCACAAAGTTTGGGAGCCTCTGGTCTAGACAATAAAACCACCTGGCTTTGAGCTGAGCAACTTCCTCCAAAGAACAGCCACTGTAATGGCCAGGAAGTGGGAGAGAGATTTATTTCGTTCTGATAAATACTGCCTGTTTTGAGGGTCAGACTGTTGGCTGCTTACTTTCCTCTTGCAATATATTCATTCATTGTTTTCAAAGTGGGGTTATATTTGTGGCCCATGAGCTGTACAATGCTAACGAGCTAAAATACCTGAGTGAAAAGCTGGGGTGGGGGGGAATAAATCAGCTTGGTAAAAAAAAAAGGTAGATCTCAAAAAGTTAGCTCATTTGGGCAACTGCAACAAGTGGGTGACCAACCCCAAAATAACACAACATATGCTTTGCAATGTACTACCCTGCAAAGAGAAATGCTACACTCTTAAGTGGTATTTTCTAAACCGCATTTATCTTGAAGTGAGGTTTACAACAAAAGATATTTTGACTCTCTGGAACATCTCCAAAAACTGTTTTGTAAACAACCCTCAAGTCACATCCCTACTTCAAAAGAAGTCAAATTTTAACATGTTGTATGAAAAAAAATCAGAAGAAGCTTTTCATGTTGAACTTAGTGAGGAGTTCACCGAGAGCTAGACATCTGGTTTGATGCTCTAAATTATTAGTACAAGTTTCTGGAAGGCAAATGAATACCTCTGTTTCATATGTACTTTTTCCCATCTGAACACAGCAAAGGAAGGCAGATTCCTGGCCTTTCCACTCCTTAGAGTCTGAAGTTCTGAACACCCAAATCAAATTTTATGCAACTTTGACCCATAAACACCAGAAAGTTCTGGTCTAATGCAAGACTCTGAAACAGACTCCAGTGGTTTGGAAGAAATGCAGACTGTCTGGATGGAATAAATCTCTCATTTGTAAATGGCATTTTTACATTACTCAAAGAATTCAAAGAAGCTGCTGGTGGATGGGGGAAAGAGCCAGAGAAGCCTGTCATTTTGACAGGAGTTAGAAGTAGTTTTGCAAGAAACTCACAATTGAACAAATAGAATTAGTAGAGAATTTAGAAGGTCAGTTTTAAGCATATTTCCATATTGATAAGATTTTTAATAAGCCTTTTCATATATATGCCTGCACAACCAGTCCAAAATTTTTAAACCACAATGCTGCTACATTGGGGAACACTGTAAGTTTAACTAATGTATTATATTTTTTAAGTCTTCATGGCACTCACATAGGCAAAGACGATGATATTTTAAAATGTGCTTAGAGGATTGATCACCATCCTATTAGAAACCTAATCTTTGCTATCAGGGGGTGTAACATGCTTAAGATTACTGATCTTCACACAATCAACTTATACAGGTTCTTTCTGGTGGAGAGTACTAAATGTGGCACAGACACAGACAGTACAACCTTTACTTAAAGAATCTGCCATATAACCTGGTTTCAGAAGCCAATAGCACTTAATTCTTGCACTCTAGTTACCTATTTTTCAGTGTCCATAGATAGAATAGCATCTTTTCATTTATCTGCCTGGCTTGCAATTTCTGTAGAAATATTATCAAACACTAACTTGATTATGAGTCTGACTGGTAGCATTCAAGTCCCTGAGAACTCTCCCATGGGGTGCAGGACTATCTGCTTATACTCTGGTTGACAATTTACCACCTGTTTTCACACCTTTTCCCTATGATCTTCCTGGTTTTGTTCAATATCACATACTGAAAGAGCAACTTCCCTCATCTTACAAAAAGCAAACTAATTTTCTATTTTATCCCCTAATAAGTTGCTTAAAAAGGGGATATAAGGAACCCTTAAAACCTTAAAGAGGCAGCCATCAAAAGCACAGTAGTGTCCTGAGGAAAGAATACAGTGACGCCATACAGGTAACTCTGCCTCAGACAGACTTCCCCCTCTTTCTCTCCTTTTCAAATTTTAAATGTGTGATTTCATAAAAGCCTTGTAATTATGTTTAAAAAAAAAAATGTGGACTTTCAGGAATAAAAAACCCACCACCACAGTGAAATAGTAGGAAAGTCTTGACCTTCAAAAGAACACTTGCATTCCGGTTGGAACAGGGAAGAATGTACGTGTTCAACATGAGTTTCCAGGAAAGCAGGATTTTTATTTCTGTTTGTTTTTTTTTTTTTTTTTTTTTTTTTTTTTTTTTAACTGGCAAGTCAAAATGAAAGTGCAACTGACTTCCAGATGAGGGTGTGGTGCTTGAAGACAAAATGCAATGTGTCAGACCAATTGAGATCATTTCACTGAAGCACATCTCAACCGCAGTATCTGCTACTAGTCTGCTGACAAAAGGTTAGTTTTGTTTTAATATTTACTGCTCTGTATATTAAGTGTGATATACTTATTTACATAGAGAAGAGCTAGGATTTACTCTTAGTTAAGCTGGCTTTACAGAGAGACATAATTTCACTAAGGCACATGCTCATTTCCAGTCTTAAAATTATAGATTTGTTCAGTAGAACAGAATAGTGCTTCATTCATTAAAGAAAAAATCTGTTTAAACTGGGGATATTAACTTCATTCAACATGTATTCATACAATCCCATGTCAAGTTTAAACACACAGAAACACTGAATTTGTATCTAAATAGAAGGCTGGAATAATTCTGCAAGAAAACATGCAAAGCTGTCTATTAATATATCTATTAATATACCTCCTAGAAAACAGTACTTGAAAAAATAGCTGAGGTTCTGAACTGTTTGGGTACTTGGGGGCAGCTTTGTATGTGATAAGATTCCTTTCTGTGCATAACATCCTGAGAAGTCTCCAGCTGTAAGATGCAATGTACCCACAGCAATTTGATTCTGTAAGAAATTCCACGTGGGCAGCTCGCTGTGTGGGATGGAGACTAAACTAAGCCTGTTCCACTGCTGTTTGGCACCTGACTCCCATGGGACTGCTTTGCTTTATGTAAAGGGCATGTGTACGTGCGCCTGAGGAACAACATTAACAGGAATGACAAATATGAATAGGTATGCTGGCCAAAACATAACCGTGTTTTTCAGAGAGAAATATCAACTGTTGCATTTTAGATAACTTTGTTTCTGTCAAGAACTCAGGTCAGCCAAAAACATCAGACAGCAGAGCACGTTCCTTGTCACAGCCAAAATGCTTTGTGATACACAGACTTCTTGAAGTTAGCACTGAAATGTTTATTGGTTTGCTTTCAAGCAAATTTGCCAGTGATCCAATTTGATTAAGCATTCCCAGATGAGTTCTGTAAGAAGTGTTTTAGACCACAACCAAATATTTTCAGTTTAACTTTTAATCTTCCTCTAATCTTGGCTAAGTGGATTAAACTCTCCCTGCAGCAGTTTCTCTTCTACTTAAAAAAAAGAAAACAACCCCCCAAAACCAATATTTGCTGCTGATGCCTGAAACTCTCCTCAAAGTACTATAAAGCTGCAAAAGATTACCCCTGCTGAAAAATCCTGCTAACACAGCTTGTTAGGCATAGAACAGACATCCCTTGCCAAACTAATAAATAGAATTACTGTATTTTTTCCATTCTGTACACCTCATTTAGGCAACAGTAAATGACAGATTACAAGACTTAAAACAAGAGTAATCGTTATTTAAAGTTTAATGGGCAGTGTTTTGAAATGTTAAGAAAGTAATCCAACAAAGGCATTAAGGATGAAGCCAAACCAAATAGTTAATTTCTGACTAACTCACTGTTAAGAAAATTTAGATAGCAGATTCACTGGAAAAAAAAAATCAGCAAAAATAGAAATTATTCATTTATTTCTATTTAATTGGTCTGCATCCCTGAATATGAGATCAATCAGTAAGTTATTTTTCCTGGTAGACAGAATACATTAGAAAATTTTTGAGATACTGTTTATAATAAAGGTTTGGCAACCCTTCATTTAAATCCTTGTCTAAAAAACAGAAATGGTATTTGGAGTTTTTTCAAGCTTGAAAAAGCCAAGCTTGAAAAAGCTCTGGGGCAGAATATCAGATAAGAATGTGCTTTCAGTAACATTGGCCTCACATTCTGAAACACTGCAGATGATGAGAAAGGGGGATGTGTTTTTCATTCTCAGCTACTTTTTTCTACTTCTGTTAAGAAATCTTGATCTCATTTATTTCAAGAAAACAGGGCACTGCAAGACTGTAGTTTACAACAGAAAGAATTTCAGCAAATTAGTCCATGAACACAATTACAGAAAAATAAGAAAATACGGTAGGACATGATTTGCTTAAGACACAGTCTTAAGATGCAAACACTCAAAACTTCAACCCTAAGCTGGCGGTGAGAATACAGCCTTAGTGTTTACGGAATAAATCTGTCATGAGATAGTACTTGAAAAAACAGCTGAGGTTCTGAGCTGTTTGGGTACTTGGGGGCAGCTTTGTATGTGATAAGATTCCTTTCTGTGCATAACATCCTGAGAAGTCTCCAGCTGTAAGATGCAATGTACCCACAGCAATTTGATTCTGTAAGAAATTCCACGTGGGCATAAGGCCGCTCGCTGTGTGAGATGGAGTCTAAACTAAGCCTGTTCCACTGCTGTTTGGCACCTGACTCCACTGCTGTGCTTTATGTAATGGGCATGCATATGTGTGCCTGAGAAACAAACAAGCACACTCTCTCTATATTATACTCATATCCCAAATTTGCCAAAATTTATCATAGTAGGCACAGAATACTACCACTTGCCTCAGCTTTAATCTGTTAGTATTCCTTATCCACTCTATTATAACAGCATTTACAGCCTTCAGCTGGTACTCCTTTGCTTTGCAGAGGCTGTAGAGAGCATCTTGCAATCTCAAACACTAAGGTTAATGAAAGCATTTCAATTGAATCCATTTTAGTTTGCACTGCATACATGGATGTAGTCAGTTACCCCGTTTCATGTGAGAATTTGAGACTGTCTGTTGTGGCTCCGTCACTGTCTAGCTCTGCTTTGATTATTTATGAATGTATTCTCAATATCCAACTTCTTTAAACTTGAGATGGATATGCAAACCTGAGCAAGGGTTTTAAGTTTCAACAGAAATTTTAAAACTTAAAACCAGTATTACTTCTTTGGTGTTCCCATCTCCCCCCCTTTTTTTGTGTCTTGTAGCTTTGCCACGGGCTGGGATATGAATAACTCAACTGATTACTGGATTGAGGATGACGAGGATGATCTCAACTCTGTTATAGATTACAATACATATGAGTTTCTCTGTGAAAAAAGTGATGTGAGAAATTTCACTAAATTATTCCTTCCTGTGGTCTATGCATTGGCTTTCACTGTTGGAGTCGCTGGGAATTCATTAGTGGTCGCAATTTATGCCTATTGCAAGAAACCGAAGACTAAGACAGATGTATACATCATGCATCTAGCCATTGCTGATTTGCTCTTGCTCTTTACGCTCCCTTTTTGGGCTGCAAATGCAGTGCAGGGATGGGAACTTGGAAACTCGATGTGCAAGCTTACTTCTTCTCTGTACACCATGAATTTCAGCTCTAGCATGCTGTTCCTGGCCTGTATCAGTGAGGATAGATACAGGGCCACTTCTGAATCCCGGGGTCGTAGAAGAATTGGTGAACGCTGCAGTGTTACCTGCATCTGTGTCTGGCTGTTTGCCATTTTCCTCAGTATCCCTGAACTGATATTTAATCAAGTCAAGAAACACAATGACAAGAATGAATGTCTTCCTGTATTTCCAAAGGACATGGAAACACTCTTAAAAGCAACCATTCAAATCCTGGAAATTATCCTGGAATTTCTGCTTCCTTTCCTAGTAATGTTGATCTGCTATTCAGCTACTGCTCGAGCAATCTTTAGATCTGCAAATGCTAAAAAATCTAGACCTTTCCTGGTTCTGCTGGCAGTAGTGGCTTCTTTCATTATTACCCAGCTACCTTACAACATTGTTAAGTTCTGTCGAGCCATAGATGTAATCTACATGTTGATTACCAACTGTGATGCAAGTAAAACCATAGATGTCGCACTCCAGGTCACCAAGAGCATAGCTTTGTTTCACACCTGCCTGAACCCTCTTCTTTATGCCTTTCTGGGTGCCTCTTTTAAAATGCATATTATGAAAATTGCAAAAAATTATGGATACTGGAGAAGACAACAACAGAACGGAAGACCTGAAGAGATTTCTGTGAATTATGAAGACCAAACTGAAGAAACAGTTAGTTTCACTATATAGACTTTCCATTACTTTCATTATCTTATATAACCAAGGGAATTACTTACTAATTCTGGGGGTATTGTTTCAGCAGCTGTTTGTCTGCAACTCAACTTTTGGATTAATTTCTGAACTGCAGACTAGCCAAGACACTACAGTGCAGTTCAAAGTGGAACATGTTGATCAAAATTAAACATCAGGCAAGAACTAAATACTGAAATTCCTAGAAAAAACTAGAGCTATTTACTTAAAAAAAACAACAAACTAAAACCCAAACCCAAAAAACCCACCACAAACCCCAAACACCTAAAAAAACCCCAAGACTTAAATTTAAAAGGGTCACAGTACTAGGCACTTAAATAGCTGTGTAATGAACAATCTGTACATGTCTAAACATAGAATTAAAACAGAAAAAAGAACCATCAGCAATAAAATAGCAGTACAGGAACTTTTGTATCTAAAGTTAATAATCTTGTGTTTTTCCAACTATTTTGTAAAACTTTAGAACATTTGCCTAATAAGTCAGGTTTTTTTCCCCAGCTATCATTCCATAGATACACTTGCAGCTTGAAATGAGGTATCAGTTCATGGCTGAGAATTGGGGGCTGGGGTGGGGAGCCATTCTCTATGTGTTTCCACATATGTATAGCAGCAACACCCTCCACAAAAAACAGTAACTCCTTCTCTGTAACTACCAAAAATGACCTTTCACCTCTCCTTTTCTGCTCACCCTAAACTTCAACAAGCCCAGCGCCCTGTGGGAGACATTCTAGATCTCTGTAAATGTCATGTCAAATGCAAATGCCAAAGCAGTGCAGTGAAAGCATTAACAGAAATATAAGAAAAAGTCAAGTTAATCTTCAGATACAGGGCCTGGAATTTCTAGTCAGAATTTGTAAAATGAATCAAACACTGCAATAACTGTATCTGCTAAAATATACAGAGACACAATAAAATCAAAGAATACAAAAAGTGCACTGGCTGTCATTTATTCATATCTTCATGTTTGTTTTGTTTTAGTAGGTATTGACATCTCTCATCATAGGTATTTATCAACCAGCAAAGGCTAGAGGCCTAGCTTGATGAGTAAGAGTGGTTCTGATTCCATATGGAGCTCATGGTCAGTGGGATTTAGAGTTTTTCCATGGAGATGTACCAAAACTGTCCCCTGCTACAGTGCTGGTGAGGATTCCAGGAAAACAGCAGTTTTCCACAACTCACTGCAAGCATTTCAAATATATTGACACATTAGCTTTCAAAATTAAAAAAGAGGTATTACAGCATACTGATCCTGCCTTCAAACATCCCATGGGCTCTGACAAAATGCCTGATCTATGGCTTATGAAAGCCAACAAGAATCTCTCATTTTTAGACACTGTTCCTAGTTACACAATTATGGACTGGAAGAAAAAGCTCTAAAATGACAGACAAGAAACAACAGTAGCATAAACAAGACACAAGCCTCTTCTCTCTGTTTGGATGACAAAAGTTTACAGAATTTCTGCCCAGTATTTTGAGAAATACTAGGGCCTGAACGGGTAAGTCAGAAGTGTTTGACAGATGGTCTCACACGCACCATAAGTCTGACATGTTTAAACCATACTGGATTTTCTGTAGCTGTGCAAAACACCCATGCAGAACATGGTGAGAAATTCCAGTTCTTCCACGAAGCAACTGACTCCTTGCATGTCTGATTTATGATTTGTCTCCAGAAATACAGAGTGATTGCACCCAGAGTGACATTCTGACCAAGCTGTCAGGCTTCTGGAATTCCCAAACATCCAAGGTCCTAATGTCCCACTCAGAGTAAAAAGGAAAAAAAAAAAACCCCCGAAAAAACCAACAACAACAAAAACCCAAACAACCCCAAATCAAAACAAATGCCCCAAAAACCAACCAGTCAGAAAAGGAGACTCTGACTAAAGGCAGAGCTGCATATACGTATTTCTCAAACTTCTTGAAATTGCAGTGCCTTTTGTGCATCTGTCTTTATGCAAATCTGAATGTCCTAATTGTTTTTATCAGAAATAAGACAAACCAAATCATGCTTACTCTCTTATGTTTACTCTCCTTTTTATAATTCATGTAACTAATTTTATGAATAATATTTTGTGTGTGTGACCTACAAACCTTCCCATTATTTCCTTAGCACCTGCAACACACAGTTGGGAGACATTGACCCAGAGCAAAGGTAGCAGCCAGCAGTTAAGTGACATTCTCAGGTCAAGAGACAAGATACCATGCCCCCTTTTGTCACCAGTTTTGCAGTACTAGAAAAGAGAGAGAACCCTATCTTCTGGTGAGTCTAGGTATTGCACAAGCATGCATCAGTAGGTAGCCGCCACACTCAAAGGTACATAAATGAAACATTCAAGTTTCACTCCAGTTAGCAACTCAGTTTATGTAGCTGGCTTCCAAATTCCCAGGGAATGATGATTTTCCAGTTGTTGTCATGTATGTTTCAGTAAAAAAGTAATGGTACTATAGTATCAAGGACATTTACCACTTACAGTCTAATCCATTAATTATTCTGGGAAGTACAGTATAAGAAAATTACCTGTAAGAGTCAGCCCAACAGCATCACAGGCTAGTTTAAAAAGCAGCCAAATTTTACTGTAACTACACAGTATCCTCAAACATCATACACAAGCTGCCAAAGACAGCTTCATAAAAACAAAGTTTAAAGGCTACAGCCAAAAACATACAAGTTACCTGATGGAAAGAGGTAACATTGAGGGAACAATAGTTGCATTCATTGTCTGAATTGTCTGAACAAAATTCAGAGGTTCCAAAAAGGGCCCAAAACCCCAAATTGGATTCGAGTCTTGGACTTTGCTTCATAGAACAAAACCTCAATTCAGCGCTTTCCGTTGTTTTACATTCTATTGCCTTTACCCAAGAAAAGACAATTTTCCATCTTGAAATGGAGCACAAATATTTTTGTTTTATCAGTTCTTCGAAAGAATTTTAGGCTTAGCCATTCTTATTTAGGGTTTCCGTACTTACCACTGCTCCACCACTTCTTGCCATTGATCACGTAACTGCTTCCATCTCGCTCAATGCTGCATTGCATATTAGTGGCATCACTTGAAGCCACATCAGGTTCTGTGTTAAAGAAAAAAACAAAACAAACCACTGGATTAAATGTACAAGTAGTACCACCACCACAAATATAGGGATCAAGTTACACTGTATTGACAGTAACGCTGTTTTGCTCCCAGTAGAAAAGCTGTTTTCAGAACCTCACTCTGCTGGTGGTCAAAGGCATTCTACCTTCTTCTTGGGCTCAGACTAGTCTTTATAGTCAACAGCCTTTTTCCTTCCCCGATGTTTTTAAATCCTTCCCCCTTAATGTACTTAAGTCTTATCTCTCCTCAGCCCTTTTTCCCCCTAGGCTCTTCTCAAGTGAAAATAAAGACATTTAAACTAATTTTGTGAATGGTTTATAAAATAGGTTACATAAAGCAGTTGCCAGCAAAATGTCATCAATTATTGGTTGGAACGGGAAAGATTCTTCCTCTCTCCTTTCACCCTGAACTTCTTTTATAGGCCATCTTCTTTAAAGCAACAGCATCTCTTTCCACTTAGCGAACACAGTGAAACAGAATTTGCAAAAGTCCAGCTCTGCAAGACTGAGTTCTCTCAACTCCTGCCGACACAGAAAGATCAAGATTTTGACATCACATGTTCAAAGGTACCTTCCTAAATCAACAGCGAGGCCTTCCACAGATGCTGAATGCTACAAGCTTTCAGGAGCAAAAACGAATATAATGCTGAGCTACAGACATAAAGCAAGTGCATCATATGTTTTGCAAGTTATCTTCAGGTTATGTAATAAAACCTCTACCTATGACATACTGCAAAACTATACAACTTTAATCACCATAATCGTACTTGTACCTACATGTATGTTTGTAGAGAACCCCAAAGCACGTTACAAAAAAGGGTAAGTTCTATTGTAAATCTGCTTGGTACAATAAGATACATTTTACTAGTACTAAAAATAAATTGAAAATATATGGAAAGCAAATACTAATTATTGTAACCATGAAAAATGGTAACTATCAGGGAAGGGCAGCAAGGATGCTTCATTTTGCACTTATACCTCATACATGATTTCATATTCCAACACATTCACAGATACAGTGGAATTTTCTGTATTAATCATTAACACATAACAACTTGTAGTTTTGTACTTTTTGCATATGCCATGTGAAATTTCTGCCAATTGCCTCTAACTTTCTTCTGGAGAAAAATTTACCTGTCATGCAGAAGCAAGAACTAATCCTCCCTTCTAGAAGAGGCTCCAGCCATTCCTTCTTTTGCTCTTCAGTCCCATACATGTGCAGGACTTCCATGTTTCCAGTGTCTGTAAGAAATCAGCAGCCATGTTTACTTCTCGAGACACACAACCTGTAAGGTATAAGATGCCCAACTTTTCAATGCTCTCAGTGCTGTAGTTACGGGACAGGGTTGCTAACCTGGTGCATGACAGTTGAAAACCTCAGGAGCAAAGAAGCATTTCCCCATCTCCTCAGCTATTAGCGCATAGTCAAGCTGTCCGAGGCCACTGACATCTGGGAGAAAAAGGTTCCACAGACCTTCTGCTTTGGCCATTTCCTGTTGAAGGAATGAAGAGAGAAAAACATTAGCAATAAATCTTAAAAAAAAAATTAAATTTTGGCTTGCAGCCCATTTTCTTCCTTCTTGCCTTACATACTGTCCAATATATCTGATGCCTTTTTTTCAATCGCTATTTTCAACAGGTACAGACTTTGACTTAAAGTTCAGACATACCCCTCACAGAACTCACTTTTGCTTTTCTCCTCTGTCATTCGTATTTCTCACCTCCTTTTGTACACTGCCTTCTTCCTTTTCTTACACTGTTCCTCATGCTGTTTCCTTCCATGCAGAGTAAATTCACCAGCAGCATACACCAATCTTTCTTATGCTCCATGTCAGTGCCTGTTTCATTTGCTGCTAGCATGCTCGAGAATATATATTATCCCATACCTTCAGTCTCTCAAGCAGTGGTGGTTTCTTCCATTTTTCCTCCATATTTCCACGTCCAGCATAGTATTTTATTATTTCCTTAGAGAAACAATTAAAAAGATGCTTGTTTAAATTAAGAACGCATGTAACATACACAAGTAATAGTATGCTGCCTCTTCCAGCCCTACACCCCAAGAAACCAATAAAAAAATATTCAACACAGGTTTTTATTATATAGTTGGTTTCATTAAAAAATTAAAAATATAATTCAAAATCAAACTGCA